GGACCTGATCGATGAAGTTTAGTAATAAGGCGCCCCGGCATAAGGGAGACGAACCTCATCCATGTAGAAACGACTTATAGAAACTACATTTCTCGTCAGTATAATGTTTTGCTTCATGCGTCATGTCGCGTCGTGGGATGTCGTTAATCTATTATATCTGTTAGTCGAAGAAACCTGGTAAAGTCGCCAAATGAACGCTTACTTTTCCTGCTTGAAGGTCGAAGATAACGAACCAAGCCGGTGTTCCCTTTGGAGTTGTCTCTAGATAGTCAAAGAGGTTCTGTATTCCGTCCGCTGGTATTAGGCTATCTTCGGTGAACGCCATACTCTTAGAGTAAAACGGCCCAGGCTAGAAATCATAAAGGGAACATTCATCAGTTCGGCCCGGTCAGTCGATGGAATCAAAAACGCACGATGCCGCCAATCAACTTTAGAGCTTCATTTTCTGCCCAGTTTGTGACAGTCCCGAGCCAATTATCAAGTTGAATGACATTGACGGTCGCGTTGTTGCCCAAGCGTTGCTCGAATTGAAGTGCGTCATATTCCTCCCTAGTGCCGAAATAGGTGCCTAGACTCATATAGTCAGTATCCAAATCGGAGGCTTTGTCGAGACAACACGTACCAGAAATGATCATTCCAAGTTCCATGATGATGAAAGTCGTCGCAAGCTTCCTGTCTAATTGAGGGTCCTTAACGATATCTTGCCAAGTGGCGAAAGTACTAGCAAACGCGCTCTTGTTTCCAGTCCTAATAAGAGGTATCAGATGTGGTTTCTCTCCTAGGGAAGTAGTCGTCGTACTGGAGATGATAGGAATATTGGATGACATTTTGCGGGGCGGGTTCCGTATGAACAATGAATTCGGTGACGATTCCGAACGACGATGCGGCGCCCCTCATTGCCTACAGTTCATTTAGCATCCTCGAACTGCACGAAGAGACGTTGAAGGAGAGGTGGAGCACAAACTTACGAAAAAAAGGTCTGGATAGTGAGTATTGCTGGCTCGCGTGATTGTGCCATTCGCCAACACTACCTCCACCTCTTCGACATGATCAAGGGCCGTGCCATACTGTCGTGAAAGAGGGCCTAGGCCGCCGATTGTCAAGTGGCCTAAAGGGTGAGGCATGAGCGCCTATGTCAAAGGGAGGTGAGCATTTGCTACATACCACCTGAACCGACCTGTTGGATAGTTCGTTAGCACTTATCATAATCTAGATGAGAAAGGTACTGACAGAAGGACATGTGCCGTGTGCGATGGTTCGTGCGCCATGGTTGTACAGACGGTCGGTTAGATCGCCAAGACGCGTGCCTGAGCCAAACGTCGCAAACCAGTTGTTGGTGTCCATCTCAAATTTTTGAAAGTTCTTCATATCGATAACAAGGGCCCCACTCTCGCCACCTTCAAAGGAAAAATGAGTCCAAGGTGCGAGACTTTTCACGACACTGTCCCTACTGACCGAGACAGTAGTTGGCATAACTATGTCCGCCGCTGCGTGCTTGAACTTTGACACCGGAAGCTGATGCACATTGCACGACGCGAGAAAGTTGTTTGGTGGTCACCGGTCGCGTTACCGCGACGGGCGTGATTGGGATATCCCAGTTGTACGGTTTTACTGCCGTTCTTCAGATTAAGGTCAGCAACAGCACATCTCTCCAAGAAGGAAGGAGAGCTCACAGTTGATAAAATGGGTCAGACGGGTAGGATACCGCGTCCATATTGTTAGCAAAGACATTGTTCAAACAAGTCTGCAAAGGACTGAGGTTGGTGCTCGGATAGTTTCCCATAATAATTGAAGGAGTGTTGGGGGAGAAGAACAGTCGTAAGTCGTAAACGATAAAGACAAGACCGCCATATTTCCCAGTATTCTTTAAGAGGACAGGATGGACGACAGCCGGATAGGATCCTAGTGCCTATAGTCGATCCTGAACGGGAGGACGGAAGGGCTGTGGTGTCTGACCTGATTGTTATCGCCTACAAAACTCGTTTTAAGGCCCAGCAGAATTCAGATCATCTGAGCGGCCATCACTGCTGTCTGAATAAGCTTTGATTTTGCGATCGGTGGGCAAAAATGCCGAGACAGCAGAAAATAGACAGGGGCGGAGTATAAATCGGGCGTCGTTTCACACTGTCTTTAAAGTGATTGGCAGTCGAATAGTTTGCTAGCAGGTGACACTTTGACAGGAGGTGCGGTTAAGTGTGTTTGCGGAAAGGCTCTCGGATCACGACTGAGGTCGCCTTTTCCGGATATAAGCGAGGCATTGGCGGATTTTACCTCACGTTCTCCTCATGACTTGTTCATTTTGCCCCTTGGCCCCCAGGAAAATTTTCGTCTCCGGTGACGGCCTCAGGGTTCAAGGAACGCAAAATTCAGATTACACCGGTTTAAAAATACGATAACTGGTCCGGATCAAACATTGGGATTTTGTGGTATACGGGCTTGCGCACTTTGAAGGCGGAATTTACGAGCTGCTCGATGTGCGTATACGGGAAGGGCCAAGTACTTGAACCTCCGATGCCTCCAACCCCTCTAGCTTACCTGTCGCCAAAAATTGTATAGTATTATTTTATGCCCCTTTTATGTGCCAAATCACTTTGAATATGAGCGCGACCTTTCCTGAAGCCTAGGCACAAACTGGGAAGAGGCCCGTCTCAATTGTGCGACAAAGCGGTGAATAGTTTAATTGGACCCTGTTCTTATCTTTCATCCTATCATTCTTTATACCTCTCAACCAACAAAATTCCTCCGAGTCACCTATCCAAGGGCTCTAGAATCTCCAACGAGTCCGGAAGTTTCGCTGCCTCAGACACTCTGTGGCGGTTGGTTGATGGCATCAGCCCCGAGGCATAAGTCATAGATAATACCATCTAAATTACAGAGATTCGCGAAACTGTAGGGCAATTACTCTCATTCTCTAGCTACACCGCCCGAATTATAACTTGTTCTCCTGATATTATAGCTACATGTCAATATGACCCACAAACGTCTGCACCGCTATGGCAGGCGTGGTAAATCACTATCAAGCTGCATCATTTCCTCGTCTATCTCGTCTAGAATGTCAAATTTGGAGCAAATACAACCTTCACGAATCGAGTCGATAATTATCTCATTCACATCCTCCACGAGCCTCTTCCAATTTGGATGATAGATCACCCGTTGCCTAGCGAAGTCAAGCAAATCATCAGGCTCATCGGGATGTATTTGACAGTTCCGTTTTTTTGCCTTCTTCATTTCTATCTCAATCTCAAAAATTCCTCCTATCAGTCGACATGTTCTGTCGGTACGCAACTGCATCAGGTGTACCATGTAACGACTATCGACACCGGGATGATGCTTAATATCTCGGATATGTGCTTTGACTAGATCTTGAAGAGCGTACTGGGTAACCTTTTTGAGACCATACTGGGTTGCCAGTGCGAGGCAAACCATCGGAGATGTCAGCTCGCCGTGCTGACTGCGTTCCTTTTCTACTTCTTGTTCGAACCATTTAATGACACCTTTGACTTGATATTTTTCGGCAGTATTGATGAATTTATCGACTGCCCACCAGGTGGGTGGTCGGGCCTCTTTTGCCGGGTCGATGAACAATAGCAAGGCCTCTAGCATATTGGAATCCTCTGTGAGGGGCAACGCCCCTTCACTGGGAGTTTGATCGCCTATTTCGAACATGTCTTTGAAGATTGAAGATGCATGGGCCAATAGGTATCGAGGGAAGTGGAAGATTACTCCATCAGCGGACTTCAACGCAAAGTCTCCGTAGCCTTCCGGAAACATGTGTGAATACTTTTGTAACTCTTTAGCATACTGTAGAATAGAACTTTGATTGGGTGACTCGCCATTGCCAGAGAAGTGATCAAGAAGGAGGGTGTGGCGAAATTTCAATTCAGCAACTCGATCAGGTCCACTAGCTGCCACCCATGCATTACCATCAAGGGCACTGATTTCGATTTTATCATGAGGCACGTGTAATGATAACTGAGATACAATTACTCAAAAGAGTGTCGTTACTTATCTATCTACAGAACATCTCGAACAAACGACGATTCGCATGTGCCAATAGCGCACTTGTGGGTATGAGCATGCGGATAAATTGTTCCCCAGGCTGTACTCTTAGTTTTCGATATACATCAGTAGAATTCCGGTGGATCTGGGATCTCTCTCTCCACATCCAGAGAAAAATTGGACAGTGTAGGAGATATCATGGGTTTTGTGCATATACACCTTGCTGAGCTGGAATGATCTTCGAGTATTGATTGTATTTCTTTCCAACTGGGGCGCTCTACGACGATTTGGAGAACGTCTAATGGCCAGTCTCGTGGGTAAACTTGCTTGTGTATTTTACAAAATGCCGATTTTAGTTGCTCTTGAGTTGATTCTTGAATTTTGAGTATTTCTTCGATCAGTATCTTGGTCCTCATGGTCCTCAATTCAAAAAGGTAACCCCAGGCCTCCGCGCTGATAGAGGGATGTTTGTCGAACTTGAGATCATAATTATTCCATTTGATTAGATCCCGTGTGGCCAATGCTACAACATCTGGTAATTTATATCGGTCGGCGCAACGAACAGGTGGCAGCTAGCTTAACACCTTAAAAACACTGCGACCGGTCGACCCCATTAGCCTTTCGATTTCGGACTCATAGAAACGTCATGGCGAATCAACCTGGAGCTTCTAGTCTTCCAAGACATTCACAAACCTTTCCTAAAGGCCGTAGGAAAATTGTCTTCCGATCGACTGACGGTGAAATCTTCCATTTCCCTCAATTTGGAAATAACAATGGCTTCATGACCAAAGAAGTTGGAACAAAGCCGATTCCTCCGAAATATTCGGACAACTTCCCCGAAGGCTATGGGGATTTTGCCTTTCAATCGAACGACGGCGTAATCTTCCATTTTCCTCAATTCATTCTGTCCTTTGTCTCGCCTGTTTTCAAGGACATGTACGAATTGGGCAAGAACGCCACAAACGAGGGTATCTTAACCCTTGGCGAGAATGCCAAAACTCTGGATTTCTTGCTTCGATTGATAGACCCGACAAAAGAGCCACCACCTCTCATATGGACACTCGTGAAAGACGTAATCGAAGCAGGGGACAAGTATCAAATAAACGGCATGCTAGGTTGGTTCCAGAGAGGAGTAGAAATGGAAGCACATCAGGACGGTGTCATCGACGATCCACTACTATGTCTCGAATTGGCCGACCGATATAAATTACCAGATGTTGTAGCATTGGCCACACGGGATCTAATCAAATGGAAT